AATAAACTGAAAATATGTAAAATCACAGTATGTGTTGTTATATTGGTTTATAAACTTATAATAAACATTGTGCAGAGTTTGCGAATTTTGAAACCGTAAGTGTTCAATCATAACCTCTAGATCCGTTGCGCTTAGGGTTAATTCGTAGATAATTCGAACTTGTATGAACATCGACGTTCTTCAAGATGTGTGGTTAGAGCCTTGTAAGTACATTAAGAAATATGGTAATGTGCCACATTTAGTTTAGTTCTTACTAATTGAACTTCTGTAACAACTAAAAAAAAAAAGGATGTGCTTATGTAAGTTTTGATTGAGGAGTTAACTTCAGATGAAAGAATAAACCAAGCATAATCCTTTAGCAATGAGGGATGCCTTGGTACAAAATAGAAACGAAAGACAAATGGTCCCAGGAAAAGCAAGACAACAAAAGGAAATGATCAACTAATAAACCAACATCTTCAATAATTACAGCCTCTGATGGAACAATACCCCTCCAGCCACAAAAAATAAAAAAAGGGAGGCCCTCAATGGAGTTGACAAGATAAAGAAACAAAATACAATAAAATGAAATAGAAAGATTGAGAAGAAAAACGAAAACAACTATTATGATATTCAAACACAGTCACTGTTCTCCACCAACTAAAATCTAAGAAATACCCAACCTGATCACAAATTCAAAAACAAGAAAATCAGGCAACACAACTGTCCAAAAGCCTTAAACCAACACAAACATAGAACTAACCACACCAACTCCTATTGAAAGGACCTTTTTTTTTATTTAACCCAAAATTAAGCAACCCGTTTAGCTATCTCACCTGACCCGAAATTGGGGTTTGGATTTGCTTTTGGTCCGGTATACGGTCTGCAACGTATACATTCATGTCCGAATCGAAATTTTCACATGATTGTGATATTGCCGGTACATTTTGCCGCCATCCATTTTTATATTCCACATTAAATTTATATGTTGCCCTTCCAAATTTATTTCTTTGATAATATTTGGCCTTCTTTTATTTGGAAACAGAGATTCCTTTCGTTTTCCTTAGAAGAAACGCTTTGGCCTAAGCTCAACGCCATCAACGAGAAGCCCTCCCTTAAGGTGCTCGCTCTTGACTTCTTTAAATTCCAACTTCACCTCTCTGTGGGCCCCACCGACGTAGAACTCCCCTAATTCGACCTCTGACCAGCCGTCGCCACGTGGGCTGAGGGCCTCGGGCGCCACGTCAGGCTCCTCCTGCCCCTTGCACTCGTCCTGCTTCAGGTAAAATCTGCCCCTTTTTTTACAGTCCCCAATTTCGACGGAGACTTCAAATGGCGAGGCGCTCAACCCAAAAGCACGATTCGTTAACTGAAAAACGAGATAAGCTCCATAGGTCGTGTTTGGGGACAACATTCGGGTGTCGAATTTTCCGAGTATTTCGAGCCTACACACCGATATGAGCTCTATGGACTCTGGAAATCTGGAGGAAGAATGTGTTAAATAAATAAAATAAAATTACTGTATGTGTAAAAGAGATTAATTTCCAAAAAAAAAAAAATGATTATGTGGTAATTAATTTACCTGGACAACTGGGTGGGTTTCCAGCACCAGCAAAGGGGATTGGAGGACCAAGTGATTGAAAGCTCCCTGGCACTTAACATGTAACATCTCTTGTTCGTGTATTTGTCCACACAAAATGTCTGCATTCAGAAGAAAAATTCTTACATTTATAGCTTTTCTCAATTTGGATTTGACATAATTGGAAAATGACTTTGATAACAACATTTTACCAAATGATTTAGGGTGAGGAGGAAAAAATAATATTCTTTTGCTATGTGGCCTAGCGAGCCGCCCAACAGTGACAATATGGATTGTTGTTATATTTATATTACTTGATTTTATTAAAGGTTTTTCCTTTCAAGATTGAGAATATCTTACATAAGATTTTTGGAGATAGAGTATTGGATTCTGTCATGTGATAATTTTTTTATTCTAGCCCATTTTTTTAACTATATCATGAGTCGCAAGGTTTGACAGATGTTGCGTAAACGTGGAGTGGTTTTTTTTATTGTAGCCCATTTTTTTACTATATCATGAGCTGCAAGGTTTGAAATTTGATACAGGTGTTATGTAAACGTGGAATGGTTTTTAAAGAAATTGGTTGCTGAGGAAATTAATAAATGAAACTTTTGAAATATCTTTATTGTATTGAGATTAAGTCAAACTTTAGAGGGTGTTCCGTAGCGAATTATCTATCCCTTATTACCATTGCAAACAATTTTTTATTTTTTTTTTATTTTTTATTTTTTTGGTGCGAGAGAAGGAAGCTACGTAGAGCTTAAGTTACAACCGAACGAGGATAGGACACTCGAATCCTATTTTCAAGCAATTTGTTACCATTTTCAAGCGTTTGCAAGTATTCCTACAGCATCAGAGCAAATTCAGTAGCGAATTATCTATCCCTCATTACCATTGCAAACAATTTGTTACCATTTTCAAGCGTTTTCAAGTATTCCTACGGCATCAGAGCAAATTCGAACATGCTACCATGGGTCGCTTGGATCTAAGTTTTTGATTTGATATTTTGGTTTGATTGAATTTTATTTATTATTATTAAATAGAGATAATTTTAAAAAATGGATTGTGTTAATTTGAGTGAGATTTTGAATTTGTGTTATAATTGAGTTGGATTTTAAGTTAAAAACAAAAAGTGATTTGGATATGTTGAATTTGCATTCTTTAATTTTTAATTTTTTAAATATTTTTACTTGTGTTGTCAACCTAATTGTACACTAGGTTGGCTGATGATGTATCATTTTCCTTTGCTAAAAGGTTTGAAAATTGATTGAAATTTTCATCTCCAAACACCCTCTTATAGTGTCAGCTAATTTGCCAAATATCTACAATCTCCATCGGAATTTGACAAAAATCGCATAAAACAAATCCTCCATTCATTTCTCAGGTCCCAGTATAATTAATAGATGAATAGATAGCACTTGAAAACCAAATATATATATTATTATTATGGTTGTTGTTGTTTCTAGTAGTAGTGTTATTATTAAATTTTAAACAACACGTATAATTATTATCATTAGTAAAATATACACATATATATATATATATATATATATATATATATTAAATTTTAAACAACACGAACTTCTGTGTGAAAAAGATAGCAGCAGACAAAAGAAAAAGACCATCTTCATTTAGTGTCATTTCTTATTTATCAATGAATACTATTAATCAACCTGTATATTTGCACAAAGAAAAATATTTTAAAAAAATAACAATATAAAAGAAAAAAAAAATAAATCATAATTTAATTCATGAAAAAATATGAATTAAGAAAATAATTCTCAAAATTGATTTTGATCAACTAATTGCTATGAGAGAGCCGTTACAACCATTTTCTTTATACTAATACATCCGGCCATTTTCATTAGTGGGTGTGACATAAAATTTGAGTACAATTTTGTAACTCCCTTTATTGGTTTATACTCATAATTTATGGCATTCAAGCAACTTATTTTGTAATTTAAAAATAAAATTGAATGTTGAAAATTTTGGAGAGATAATAAAATTTAATGCATGATAATATAATTAAATTNTTCACATTTGATAAATTTTAAATTAAAATCACATGCAAATTGGATTGGATTTGTATATATATATATATATATATATATATATATATATAAGATTTTGTTTCACTGAACTCACCTATCTACAAATCCGCATGAAATTTTTCTCAAAATTTAATTGGAAATAATATCATTTTTTTTTAGGACTCTTTCAAATATTTATATACCCAAAAAAATAATATCAGTTATGTGCACCACACGGATGTATACTTATTTTAAACAGACATTTTTATGTAATTTTGCACAATTTAAACTTTATATAATATTTTCAATAAATTAATATAAGTAAATTGTATTACATATTGATTCTATATTTTTTATTTATAAATATTATTTAATAAGAATTTTTATTTTATAAATATTTATGAATATCTCTTACCCGTGCACTGCACGGGACTCATACTAGTCTATATATATAAAAGGGAGCCACATAAGATTAAATTATATTATCATGCATTAAATTTTATTATCCCTCCAAAATTTTCAACATTCAATTTCATTTTTAAGTTACAAATTAACTTGCTTGAATAACATAAATTATGAGCATAAAACAATCAATGGAGCTACAAAATTGTACTCAAATTTTAAGTCACATCCACTCATGAAAATGACCGGATGTATTAGCAATTAGCATAAAGAAAATGGTTGTAACGGCTCTTTCATAACAATTACTTGATCAAAATTAATTTTGAGGATTATATTTTTAATTCATATTTTTTCATGAATAAAATTATGATTTTTGTTTATTGTTATTTTTTTAAAGTATTCTTTTCTGTGTATTTAGTTTATTACTAGTTATATTTTAATAAAAGAATATAATATTATAGTAAGCTTATAAATGACTAATTATTATAGAGTAACAATTTAATTACCCAAGATACGTAATGATAAGGAGATACTGTGAGTTAGAAACGGAAATTAATTTACATAACACCACATAAATCAGTACACGGAACCTAAATCAGAAACGACGGGTCAAATAATAAACAACTGGTCAACAATTAGGAAACCACAAATCCGAAATTTCCGCCAAGATTCGTATACCTTTTATTTCAAAAATAAAATAAAATTTAATTAATTAAACAAAAACAAAGAAATCGAATTTACCTTGTTGCCGCCATCGATGAGCAGCGGGGCGGCGGAGAGCTTCTCAAACAGCTCCTTCTTAGAGACAAACTCCGGCGGGCATACCGACCTCGAGATTATCTCCCTGTAATCGGACGGCAGGAACTTCTCCCACGTCAGGTCCGAATCCGCGGCGCCGTGGAACACCCCGCACACGGCAGACGACCGGCACGCGTCCCGCGGACACGTGAACGACACGACGTGGCTCAGGCACTCCTCCGGCAGCTCCGCCACGCTCCTCGCCATCACTTTCTCAATCTCGATTACCGAGCTAATTGCCTGATTAGCAGGAAATTAATTATTCCCTGTTTTCTAATTAGCTGCCCGGGCAGAGAGAACCTGATGCTGTGAGTGCGAATATATAGATGGAGGGGAGGAGATGGCGGGTTTCTATTGGGCGGTCTGAAATTCCATAATCTGCCCGGTTTTTTGTGTGATGGGCCCAAGATTTGACACGTGGGGGACCATACCATATATGGGCCTCTCATGTCCGTGGGCTGTTTATTGGGTTTTACTTTAATTGTGGGCGCGAAGGGTGTCGCGCGTGCGATGGTGACACCTGTCTTGCGTGCCTCGGTGTCCACTGGATTTTATTCCGACCATATCAGGCAGCTGTTTGATTTGGGACTCATAGGCTTGATTTTTTCAATAAATAATTAAATATCATGAAATGGAAACATAAATTATTCGATTTTCTCTATGATAATAATTGATACCTATGATTTAGGAGGTGGTTACTTTAAGTTGCGTAAAAGCTTGAAGTTTTCAGTAGGTGGTTACTGAAGTTGCGTAAAATCTTCAAGTTCAAGTATGGTATGGATTAAGAAGAATTGATGATTATAAAATCTCGAATTTTCCTCGTAAAATGATTGTTGTGAACTACTTTGACGTATGGAACAGAGTAGAGATGTTAAACGGGTTAGCCCTAGCGGCCTTCGGGCTAAACGGTCTGGACTCAAAAAGCTCGAATTTAAACGGGTTATCAAAAAAGAGACCTAACCCTAATCCTAACGGAGTTCGAGCTAAACGAGTTATGCGGACTATAATAATGATAATAATATATAAAAAATAAAAAATAAAAAGAGTAAAATATATAAAAATAATAATAACAGCTAGTTAATAATTATTGTCAACGGCTATTTACTATTTACCGTCGATCACTATGTTTTATGTGTTTTTTATTAGTCTGTCTGATTGGCTTAAATATTTTGGTATGAAATACAATAACCAAATTGTTAATAATTATCTTTCAAAATCATAATAATCCATTACAACTCGTACTTAAATGTGAAGTGGAATAGAAGCGAAGCGAAGTGAAGGAAAGGTTATAACATATGCTCGACGCGAAAGGAGAGGAGAGCATCTTTCTATGTGCTTAGAGCGGGCATGGAACACAGGATTGGCCGCCAAGTGCAAAATTGTAATATACAAGAAATCTAAGAGCATATTACTTACTTGATGCAAACATTTACACCGCTCAACCCTAGTTAAACCGGCCAGCCCTAGCGGGTTTCGGGCTAGCCTTAGCGGACTTCGGGCTAAATGGTCCGGGCCTAAAAAACCCTGATTTAAACGGGCTACTAATAAAAGGACATAACCCTGTTTTTTTCTAAGCTAAACGGGCCGGCCCGTCGGACCAATAACCATTTAACATCTCTAGAACAAAGGGTCTCCCCAAGTTTTATCGAACGTTTATGAGACAAAATTGATTTTAATCGATTTTGTATAGACTGAGTATTTTGTTTTCAATCTTTTAGTTCAAAATCAAGTTAACCAAATTCTTCTCAATTTATTAACATAATTAGATAAAATTAACAATTCATATTCAAAAATCACATCAATCTATTCATTCATTGACATAATTTGAATTACCTATTACTATTTTACTAGTACGTAGCCCGTGCGATGCACGAGAAAATAATATTTTGATTGTATTATTATAAATTAAATAAATAAATAACATTAATCATGATTTACCCATTATTCGTAAATTAAACTGGGTTGGACACAGTCCGACCGCATGGACCGAGAACCGGTTTATAACCGATTTAGTGCGCTTGAATAAAATATTTACTATCGAATCCGCCAACACCAGTATGTTGGACTGGTAAGATCGATACGATTTTCTAAACAAATTTTGTTACATGAAAAATTATTTTAAATAAAATTACATATTTAAATAAAATAGAGATTTATAAATTGTTCATCAATTAGTTTAAACATTTGAATTTATAAATTGTTTAGATATTTAAGTAACACTTTTTATTTAAATTTATTACAAAAAGAACTATATATATATATATATATATTAAAGTATTATGTATTAAAATCTGAACAACCACAAGACGGTCCGATTCTGAAAATCTTATATTTACCGCACATTAATAAAAATGATAATGAAATAAATATTTTGTTCACATAAATAGTAATAAAATGATATATAAATATTCATAAATCATTAGTCATGTTGTCATAAAAGTATTGTTAATATGATTATTTGAAGTTTGGACTATATCACATTCATGTAATAAAGTATTTTCAATATTAAAATTTATATTTAGGTTCAATAATCAATTTGGTCTGGTCAAACTGATACATAACTTAGTTACACCGGACCAACCAAGTTGTGTCAAGTTTTTGACTATTTTAAATATCACCTAAAAATAATTCAATCAAAGTGGGCAGTACCCTAATTCAATAACCCGATTGATCCAAAGTAATTTCCTTATTTTTTAAATATAATATTTAATTTTATGAAATAAAAATATTTTATGATTCATATGTCTACACCAAATGATAGTATATTAAGATTATAAATTATATATCTAAAGATGAACTATTTATTTTTATTTTATGCATATTAATAAAAAATAAACATAGTAATTTAAAAAAAATTAAGATTAATTAATTGAGTATGCAATTTAAAAAATATTTTTAGCGTTCAATATATATATATATATATATATTTAACATGATTGAATTTTTGGATTAGAATATATATATATTTAAAATAATTTTATTACTAAAAGTCAAAAAGAAAAGATGCCATAAAGATTACAACTTTGAAAAGTTTGTAACCATTAATTTAGGAACCCTCCGATTTTAAATGATTTATAATTTTTGAAACATGATACGTGCATTTAAAACCCATTAATTTAGGAACCATCCAATTTTTTAATAATGAGTTAAAATTAAAATGTAAAATGTAAAAGTTGCTGAAAATAGTATATAATAAATGTGGTTGACTTTTTCTTACTACTATTTATGGTAAATGTTAATTCTTATTATATATATATAGATACTTTTACACCAGATCAACTTTAATCATTGTATTTTAAATATTATTTTATAAATTCAAAATTATTCATTTAATCACTTTATTCAAAATAACTCACTTTAATCAACTAAAGTAAACCAAAATTGTTGGATTTATAATTTTATACGATAGTATTCAATTACTATTGAAATTGCTTTAAATCACGCCCTAAGTCATAGCATTCAGTTACTGGCCTTGTTTGGCGATCAGCGGATAGCGGATAGCAGATTGTATCAGTGGATAACGGATAGCGGATTATATTAGCTGATTTGACCAGCGGATTGCATTAGCAGTTTTTAAATAAGTGTTTAGTAAATAGCTGAAAGCTTATAGCTGTTTGACATTACAAAATAACCAATAAGGATATTTTATTATTTAGGGTGTATTCTTTTAATAATAATATATTAAAACATTTAATATTATTTAGTTGGTAATTTATAAATATATTATTATTTTTCTTTAAATTTCCTAAAACTTGATGAAGAAGGTATGAATTTTATATTTTTCTAGATAAATTAATCATATGGATGACATATTATTATTTATTAGCACCATAAACCAATATAGATTTTAAAATAAATAATACAAATTAAAAAGTTCCAAGTAAAAAGTTTTTTTGTGAATCCTCTATCTTCAAAAAGATCCTCTAATGAGTTTTTTCTAAATTAAAGTTTTAGGCTCAAAAAGCTTATCAAATAAGCTATTTATCAAACAGACTCAATAGCGGATTTGACGGGTCAAAGCTTTTAATTAAGTCTAATCCGCTAATTTACCTTCAATCCGCTATCTACCAAACGGGGCCACTATTAAAATTGCTATTTGGTTTTCTATTTCTTGATGTGATGCGTCACTACATCATGATTTCAATCACTATTAATATTGCTTGACCAATTAATTTATTTTTTTTTTCCTTGATGTGACTCATCAGTCATTGTATTTAATTATAATTAAAATTTTTAATTGATTTGCGTAAACTAATGATTAAGATGCCCTTATCTATATATATAATTGCTGTTAAGTTTCAATAAATTTTATTCAGTCAACAATTAATAATAATAGAAATTCATTTAATAAAAATAGGCATTCATTTAATAAAAATATGTCCACCATTTAGTAAAACATATGTAACTTTCGATTACGCAATTTATTTTGATAGGTCTCATTTTGGATGGTGCTCATTTCTAAAACGTATTTTTATGTCCTGTAATACAAAATGGTTTTGTTTTTATTTTGATATTGTATATATATTTTGGAATTATAAAAATACATATTTCATAACTAATTAAGAATGATTACATATATCTCTATTTTCTATTACAGTCATATAATAATAAAAAAAATATTTTTTGGATATTACATAGATATTTGAAAAATCAAATCGCAGAGTCACGAGTCGGTTTAATGATAATGATTTGTCGTTATAAGAATTCTGACGATAGGAAAACACGAATGTTGTATATAAAGAGGTGTTTAATAATATGTAGATTCACTTTTTTAAATTATTTATTTTCTCATTTATTAAGTTATGATTTTTACTTTAATTTATATTTTTAATTACTTTTTATTCTATTATATCGGTTTTCGTGCAAATGCACGGGGTAAAACTAGTGAGAAGTAATTTGTTGGAAATTCTTAAAAGTTATTGATGCCTTTCATAATTATATACGTTTTTTGTTTGTTTTTATTCCTTACAAAACGAATATATGGGTTGTATACTTTATTTATCCACATATTAGTGGCGTTTTACTTTAAACAACTGCTAATTAAATTATGCTTGGATAAAATAATGGGTCATAAACTGTAAAGAGTGCTTATCAGGTGTTTAAAGCGCTATCAGACGATCCTTGAGATTCAAGCTCTCACCGAACATCTCGATGGTGGAAAGATTATGAAAAATGAATGTCGTACCGAAAATAAAAAAAAAAAAAATTATGTGGAGATTGTGACACTTGGTTTTCCCTTCCTCCGAAAATTTGACTCGTAGGTCTATTAACGTGGAATTAAAATGTGTTACATGTAGAGGCTGCTGGAAATCAAATGTCCATGTTTTTCTCGAATCGGGGTGGACTAAAAGACTGTGGAAAATGGTTGGATGGTGGGATATGCTGGCTAGTACGCGAGGTAAGAATTTCATATCTATTTTTTGTCAAATTCTAGATAGAGGTCGAGGAAAAGAAATGCCAGAGTTCGCAATTTTTTTGTAGGTTATTTGGAATGAGAGGAACCGCATTAAACATGGCATATCGACAAGGAGTGTGGAACAAA